CAACCAGTTGAAGAAAGTTATGTATGACCTCAAACATGCGCCTCATCAATGGTTGACCACTCTCTCTAGTTATCTTTAAACATTGGGATTTTAGTTCAGTGCTTCAGATCCTTCCATTCTTATATACAATAAGAATTACATTTTAATGTGATTTCTCATTTATGGGGATGACATCCTACTTACCGAAAATAACACTAAAGTAATAAATTAGATCATATAATACTTATACACCAAATTCAATTTGCACAATAAAGGTTCCCTTTCCCTATTTCTTAGAATTTAGGTAGTTCACACTATCTATGGACTACACTTAAATCAAAGTAGGTATGCCTAAATAATTCCCTCAAGTGTATCTAAAGAGGTATCAACACCTCTCCACATTAAGCAACCCAAATCCATTTTTGTCTCACCTGAATTTCCCAATCCCATTCTCTTTTTCCATCTCATCAGATCCCTAGAATATCACATGCTCACCCACCCTAACATTTCAAATGCAATTTTAATGTGTTAACCCATGCAAATCCACTATATATCCACTTTGAATCCTTGAAATGGCTCCTAAGATACTGACTGGGCATAATCCATATTGATCTTCCACTATTCTAAGACTCTCTATCTCTCCGATCCTTTGTCAACTCCTACTGGGTGGTTGATTCTCAAGATCATGAATTAACCATTAATTACTGCAAGTTCCTAGGTAACTCCCTTATCTCATGGTGTGTTAAGAAATAAAATACAGTTGTGTATTCCTCTATGGAAGTTGAGTACCATGCTTTAGCCTCAGTCCTTACGAAAATCATATGGTTGTGCCACCTTCTACATGACTTTGACTGTATGTCCTCCTCACCCACTCTACTATTTTATAAAAATACTTCAGTAATTGCCCAAATAAATAACCCAATATTTCATGCCTGTACCAATATAATGAAGTCGACTGGTACTTCATATGGGATTGCATCAAATTCAAAGATATCCTTATCCACCACATTTGTATAATCAATCACAGTGATGATCTCTTCATAAAATCCATATCTACTCCCAGATTTGATCATCATGCCAACAAAGCTGATTACCTCTTCCAACATAATAGTTTGAGGTGACATGTTAATACATTGCACATGACACTGCTTAAGTAGAATGGAATACATAGAAGGTGAAGCAGGGCAAAGCTATAAATTAGTTACAAAACTATCTAAAACATTCATTATTTACATCTAAACCATTAATACAAATATGTCTACTCTCTACTGGTAATATGTATTGTATAAAAATGATGTAGTGTATGGAGATGGAATAAAGACCCAAATCATTTATCTATATTACATATGCTTACTTTTACTTTCTCTTCATAGCACTGAATAATATAGGTTTGCATTCCTTATAGATAAGAGAGAAAAGACAATGTACTTAAAATTTTATACTATATGTACAAGAAATCTTGAGGAAAACTATATAGAAATGTAAATCTATGAAAATAAAAGGGCTTATAACTCATAGAGAAAGAACAAAAGAGTTACTTCTATGATATTGCCCTTCAAGGTTGTAAAAAATCATTATAGTAATGCAACCACTAATTTTGGGATTTATGATCACACCTTTCCAAAAGAAATAACAAAATGTATCTAAAATTTAAAAAGGAGTATAGTGTGGATGTTAAATGTCAATCTCATGTAGGCATTATTACCAAAAGCATGATCTAGAAGTCATCTGATAGGGCTAGGAATTTGATTGTTATACCAAATTTAAGATAAAACATATTGGGGAAGCTTAATCAAATAAAAGTTAAACATATAGTCAATGAAATCCTTAATCCTAGATGGGTGATGAGGTTTCCCACCAATCTTTTCATCAGTCTTTTTAATCAAATTTAAATCACTAAAAGATTGAATAAAGGACTAATAATAATAGATGTCATTGTATTATGATTATCCCAAAGAATTTTCCTTTCAAAAGATCATAGCTTTTTAATATGGATTATATTAAAGATAATCAATTCTTTCTAGATATCATAGGCTAAAAAGGTATGGAACATTAATATTCAATCAAATTAGGAAGTGTTCCAACACCAATTCTATGATTGAGCTTTAATATTTTAGGACATAATGAACTTTTATATTTAAATTGATCAAGCTATTAAAATGGTGGGATTCTAATATGAGATGGTGAAAATTTATTGTTTTTAAACTGTATCAGAGCCTAAATCTAAATTGAACTACATAATAGTGATACAAACCTAGTTTGAAGAAAGATAGGAATTCATGACATGGGACATATAACTCTAAATCCTAAAGGAATTCAGAAGGAAGACAAAAAATACTAGTCTTATAACTACCTAGAGTGGAAGGCCAACTAAACCACATAAAATGCATTAGAATGATGAATCTATGTATGTAAGACAAGTAGGATGTAGGCTATTATTTACTTATGAAAGGTCTATAGTCAAAAGATTGAAATTAGGATTAATTAAATATGCGTGGGGGTTTTAATATGCCTGACTAATGCACTTAAAATATTTTCCAAAAATCTTAAAATTTTTAAATATGCTAATGCAAGTATATATGAAAGAAAAAAAAAAAGTTTCCTACGAAACTTCTATTGCATAATGGCCATATACCAACAAGAATAGGAAGCTTAACCCTACTGATTACGTTGCCCCTCACTTGTCTTGGCATGTGTGAATTTTGTGTATGTAGTAAAATTTTAATATGTATGTCATGCTCACACGAAAAGTAAAGTGTTGGTGTTTTTAAAAGTAATTCCACAAATCATAACATCCTAACATGAAACAAGTTGTGATTTATATTTATAAATTAAAATAAAAAAGAAAAGAATATTTATAAATTTAAATCAATTTTAATTTTGTTATTCATTCTTTGATTTTATATGTTTAATTTTTTAATTTTGAAATTTTTATTTATGTTTCAATGAAATTGTCTTAATAATTTATATTCATGTTATTTTAATTATTCCTGTTTGATTTATTTAGTTTAATTTTTTCTTTTTTATTTTTTTTTATGTTTTCATAATACTGATTTTATTTTTTTTATATTTATTTAAAGTTAAATTAATATGCATGTCTATTTACTAATTTTTATTTATTTTATTTCCATATGAGTTGAGTTGACCAAGCTTAGACCTTTTATTTTTATATTAGATTTCAGATCTTTATGATAGTTGATAAATTTTAGTTTTAATTTAAAGTTAACACAACTTAGTTTGTATTTTTAGGATTTTCATTTATTTATTTATAATTAAAAAAAAAAGAAGATTTAATGATTTATTTATATAAAGTATTTAGGGTTATTTTGATTTTTATATGAAATCTAACTCAAGACAACCTTAAAATCATCAAAAGAGGTTATGACTGACCTAAAATGATGATTCAAAGAGTTTGAATCAATTTAGTTTTTAATTGGTATTTTTAATAAGTTTATTTATTTATTTGTTAAATTTCCATCAAATTATTAAATTTTTTTTTAAATTTAAACTTTTTGAGGAGGCTTTTATTTTTTAATTAAAGTATATTAAAGTTATGATTGGACTGAGTTTTACTTTGTAATTTTCTAATTTATTTTGTGTTTATTATGATTTATGAAAACTCTTAGGCCGATTATGCCATATGAGTTAGGGTTCCTTAATTGATAATTGATGTTTGAGATTCGACCGGATGGATAAGTGATACATCCTACAGTTTGACACAATTAATCCAGGCACGTGATCCAACCTAATCAGGCGGTTCACATGATTACACGTGGATCAGACAGCTCTAATTCTTCAATAAAATATAATACATCATTGCGTGGAGTTTGGAGGATATAATTTAGAGAGAGAGAGAGAGTTCAAAATTAGTGTCTTATGCGTGTGAATTTGTTTTAATAGGCTCAAATATAAAAAAATAAAATAATTTGGATGGGTTTATTAAACCGGAATTCAGTTAAAGGCTATCTTTTATCGCCCGTACGTACTGCTATAGCATTTGGAAAAGCCTTAGGGGCTGTTTGGTTGCCTGAAAAAGAAATGCAGTGTAAAGTAAATGCAATGTAAAGTAAATGTAATGCATTCTAAATACTTTGAGCCTGTTTGGTTGTATGCAAAATAAACACAGGAGAATTGTTTCCCTTGTTTGATTAGATATATCCAGAGTAAAGTAAAAACATTTTTTTGTAATAATTTATTTTAACATTAAAATAAGTATATTTATAAAAACAATATATTTATAATAATTATTTTTATATTGTGTTATAATATTTTTTTATATAATTTAATTTATTTAAACCTAAATCGAATTAAGATAAAATTTACTTCAGCTTGGACTAAAAAAATTACATGGATAACAGACATTAGGTTTCTCAAACTTGAATTTTGAGTCAAAATACCGAAGAAGAGCTCCCATATATTATGATATAGACTTGATTTGAAATAATTTTCTTATTATTTTCTAGAGCAATTTTTTAATACAATTTTTTTTTGTGGAGGATGCTTTTGTCGAAGGAGCCGAAGAAGACGTTGGAGCGGAGAAGCGAAGAAGACGTTGGAGCGGAGCCGAAGAAGACGTTGGAGGGATGAGGGCGTTGCTGACAAAGAGGTTGGAGCGGAAGGACGGACTTGAGGGCGACGGAGTGGAGCTATTCGCCGGAGCGAACTCTCTCCGGAGCTTCTTTCTGGAGCGAAGTCGAACAAGAACGAAGGAGTCGAAGAAGACTATCGTGCATTGAAGCCGAACAACACGACGAGATCGAAGCTTTTATTATTCTGATGAATTTATAACCCGCTCAATACGAGCTGGTTTCTAATTCACGCAGAACAGCCCTCATAATACACGCCTAATGCATCCGATGATTTCCTTTTGTTCCGCTCAAAATTACCCAAACAACCAAATTTAGTAAATACAGGTAATTGTTTTATTTTACACTCCTAATTCAGGCAACCAAACAGCCCCTTAAATAAAAGGCAAATCGGAAGACAAAAAAAAAAAAAAGGTTAGAAAAATAAATAATATCTTAAACAAACATTTCATCCCGTTATTAAAATATCAAGACTCCCTTACACAACTCTTCTTGGTCTATTGGTTGAGAGCTTAGGCTTCCAACTAAGAGGTCCAAGGTTCGAGTCTATGTGTATGCGTTGTGTGTATGAATTTGCCTTTATTGACCTAAATGTCCAAAAAAAAAAAAAAAATACCAAGACTCCCTTGATCACAAATTATTACAACCTTTTGCTTATTAAGAACAGCATATGTACGGACCACAAAAGTTTTTTCTCAAATATAGATTGCTATTGAGCATGAGAAGTAAATACACAAGCTTCAACCACATAACGAACAAAATTTTTTTTTTTAAACAAGCTTCTAATCTCTCCACTTATCTTAATTCTTCAACACCAAGCTCGCCGTCGCCTCTCGTCGCCACCACCGCCGACGTCGAGAGAACTTCCGCAAGCACGCGCATAGTGTTGACCTGCATCTTAGCTCATTAAAAATAATCCAAACTAGTAAGAAAAGCTTAGTTCTGATTTAACTAAATTAATCAAAATGAAAAATAAATCTTAACTTCATTTAGAGCAGCTGCTTAGAACTTAAAATAAATTTCAAGTCAGTTTCTGATTTAATTTTACTTCTTCAATATAACTTAATTAATTCAAAATACGATTAAAATAAATAAATTTATAAGTTAAAAAGAATCTTTTTAAAAACTAGAATCCTACTCAACTGAAGAATCGAATATTGTTATAAAAATATTCAAAAGTTTAGGGAAATGAATTCAATAAATATATTTAACAGGTAAATTGTTTCTATTTTTAAAGCTCAGACTTGATTAAGAGTTTATGAGACACTAGGGCACAAATATTATCATTAAAAAAATATTGTGCCAGCGTATCTTCAGAATAAATTTTATAACGATTAAATTTGCTTTAATATACACTAATTAATCTGATGTTAAATTGAATTAATCTAAAAAAAAATTTACGAAAATAAAATCAGATGTAAATAAGGATCTGCCAACCTAGAATTCCTCCAACGATTCTAACTCTAATCATATAAAAAAAACTTTGAATTTAAATTCAAGCTAAACATCCCTCTAACAACTCAGTACCAGCCCAACCTGCATCTGTAGCGCCGCCACGTAATCCGCAGTCTCTGACAAAACGCTCGCCGCCGGCAGCTTCTTGCAACCAGGCACCAGCCGCGACAACACGCGAAGGCGGTCCCTCACCTTCCTGCCTTTCGTCTGCGCCGCCACCAACTTCCCAGCCGACAGAAATGGGCGGTGCCGTGGAATCTTGCTGCAAGCTTTAAGCTTAAGCTTTGGCTTGCCTCCGCGGCAGGGGCCGAACAGAATCGCTCTGCTCCAACGTGACTGACCACGGACCGATAGGGCCAAGGCGGAGTCGGCTGCCTTCTTAATGACCAACGGGCCAGTTCGGCCGCTTCGTGCCGACCGTAGGGCCTCAAGTAGGCGGCGACCGTAAATCCACTGTTGCTTTTTGCTTTGCCACTTTGACATTCTGAGAAAGAACGAGGAGGTTTGCCGGGAAGGAGTCGGCTTTCATTTTATGCTTCCAGCTTTGTTGATATGAGTTAAGTAGTTCGAAGGGTTTTCAATGATATTTCGTTTTCATTTTAAATACAGTGGACTTTGATTCCGCTTCTAGAACGTTGATGCGCCTAGATCTTTATAATCGGGTTATACTTTGTTAAATTTATGTGGATAAGGGGGAATTATAGAGGCTATGATGACTGTGTTTTTATCACATAAAAGGATTCTTGATTGGCTATTTTCTTAAAAAATAATTTTTAAGCCACGAGTTTAACATAGTTCGTGATTTATTGCTTATTATTTAAAAAATTCTTAACATTAAGTAACGACCTTCTTATCTAAGATCATATAAAATACAGGATTGTTGCGAGCTATTATTTCATATTGGTAGAAGAAAAACTATTTAATTTCTTAGTTTTACACGAACATATAATACATACGGATAAAGATAAAAGAGAGCTTCACATGATATTTGAAAATGATATAATCTTCTAATAAATTTTATGAAGTTTTTAATTATGTTTAAAGTGCTTGATTCGAGTTATTTAGGGGTAGGATTGAAAGTCAATTGATGTCAATAGGAGAGCCAGAAATTTTTTTTCGATGGGGCCATAATTTATTTTAACAAACTTTCCCTCATTTTTTTATTCGGGCTAGCTAGGACCAGTATAGATAGTTTTAAAGAAAAAAGAAGATAAATACTAACCATAATTAATTTATCTAAATTTAAAAATCATTTGTAAATCAGATAATACCGATTATGTTACATTAAAATTAAAAAACGAAGTTATTATTCTGGCTTTTTTGATATTATGCTATTATTTTCAACTTATATAACATTTATTTGTTTATGAAATCTATGATATTTATAAATCAACTACTTGATTTTCAAATTAACATAGGCATAGTGAAAGATACTTACAGTTAACATCTACTACGATTTGCTACTCTTCTTTATATTTTTTAATAGATTGGTATGTGATGCCGTGGAAATTACTTGGTTAACTATCATGCTGTTAATTGGACTATTGAATTAGTAGGTAGGCTTCAACATAGCATGCTTTACTGACCAGTGACCATAACGGTACAATTTTTTTATGCTTTCCATTAAATCCCTACTTTTGCCTACCCTATATGTCTAAACTTTTTTTTTTTCCTTCATTTGAGATCCAGAATTAAACACTATTTTTTGGGCATGTGCCCCCGCTGGCCCCCTCTTGAATCCACCCGTGTTTGATGTTGATAGATTTGTATTATGGAGGCGTTCAATTCGGCTCTAAGTTCCTTTAAGTTAGAGTTTGGATTATCAGAACTAAAATATAAAAACCTTCTTAATTAAATGTTGCCTCAGTAGGCATGCCTAATTTTGTAAATTTTATGACATATCAGTGATATTTAATAAAAAATTGCTAATGTATCGTAAAGTAATTAGATCAACTTTAGTTGTAATAAAAATAATCTTTTAAAAAAACCATTGAATATATATATATATATATATATATACAGTATTGCAAATCTAGACACAAGTCCTATGATTTTGATGATAACAACATTATTGGAATTTTTACTATGTTATTTCAAACTATTGCATATCTCTTTTGTCATGCTCACTAACATTTTAGGATCACAACTCACGTGCAACCTCGATCTACTCAAGACTAAGTAGACAAGGAATAAAGTTGGTATTTTTTAGTCTTTTTGTACTTTTTACCTTTTGTTAGTCAAATAAGTATTGTTGTTGATCCTAAAGAAAAGTAAACTTATAAAAAAACACACTCAAGGGAGTGATTCAATTAGTTAGATTTTTTTTTAAACTAATCATAAAATACGATTTATATCATACCGAATGATTAATTAAATAGAAAACCCTAATAAGGGCATATCTGTTAAATAAGAGTGATTAAACTAGTCGCACTCTAGTCCTCCTTGGCGATTCCTGGGCGATTTAGGGCTTGCTTTCGGGAGCGTTGGTTTCAATCTCCTGGCATTTTTGTTTGGAGATTATTTTCTCAATTTTTATCCTTGGCTCATCTTCATTTTTTTTCGTGGCTTTCATTTGATGTTTTTTTTTTTTTTTTTTTTTTTTTTTTTTTTTTTTTTCTGATTTTTTAGCTTCGGGAAATGACAACTCTGTCATCATCTAAACCCCCGATTTCTTTGATCCGTGATGACTATTCTCGGTCCTTCAAGGATGTTGTTTTTGGTTCTTCTTCTTCCGTGCCTAAGCTCAATTTTGTGCATACCTCCTTCAAGGGATGCTCGTCTTTAATGTTTGATGAGGAGGTGGTCTCTCAGTTGGCTGCCCTTTTTGCGCTTACTCTCATTTTGTAAATTTCTTTTGCGTAGGCCGAATCTAGGTGTTATCCAGAAATTTTTAGTTTGCTTGAAACATTCGGGTTCCTTTCATGTGGGATTGCTAAATCCACGTCAAATTGCAATCCAATTGATGAACGATCTTGACTATAGCTATATTTTCTCAAGAAGGTCTTACTATATTCAAGCTTGTCAAATGCGTCTCACTACAGGAAAAATGCTGATTACCGGCGGTTATAGGACCGCCGGTAAGAACGGAGGTTTGGCCGGCGGTTTGGCCGCCGGCTATTACCGGCGGTCAAACCGCCGATTTTTGGCAATTTTCCTGTAGTGTCTCCTCAAATGGACGCCGAACTTTGATGTGAGGGAAGAATCTCCTATTGCACCCGTATGAATTTCTTTCCCTAATTTGAGACATCACTTCTTTAACTCCAAATTTTATTTGGGCTTGCTTATATTTTTGGTAGACCATTTAAAAAGGATCAAGCCACTACCTCTATCTCTCACCCCTCTACGACTCTTGTTCTTGTGGAACTTGATATTTCTAAGAAACACCCAAATGAAGTGTGGATAGGTTCTGAGTTGAATGGTTATTTAAAAAAATTGGAATTTGAAAATCTTCCTATTTTTTGTTCTCACTGTAAAATGCATGGTCATGGTATTAATGAATGTTTCAGGTTACACCCTCAACTTGATAAAGATAAAGCCGTTTCCAAACAAACTTAATGCAACGATGTGCTTGTTCTTGGGAATGAAAATTTGCCTTGTGTTGAGAATGAAAATTTTCCCTATACTAGTGCATATTGACTCTTTCCTTATGCATGTCTCTTCGTCTCCTGCCATTGTGGATGTTCCTCCATGTGTTTAGAAAAATACTATTAGTTACATTGCTAGTTTTGTTAATGAATGTGATAATTTGGAGGACCAAAGGCAAACTATTTCTTCTCTTCAAAATAATGCTATCTCTGAATTTTTGGTTATGGATTGTATGTTGATACTGATAAATCTTCTAATATTGATGCCTCTTAATGTATTGTTCATGATCAGAGAAATGCTTCTGGAAATGATAGGAATTGTTGCAAATTCAGGTCTATGAACTATGTTTTGATGATTGGCAAACACTCTTACTTGACTTGGACTGTCTTTTACTACAGACTTTTCAGGAATCAAAGATTGGACGGAAAATTGGAGCCAGCTCAAGATGGGGTAGATTAGGGTTGAGTCAGTCTGTAATTTTATTTTTTCCCTCTTGAGTCAATTGTAATCTTTGGTGAGACTAATGCTAAGTAACCCTGCACACACACACATGAGAGACTTAAAATTTCTGTTTTTACTCAAATCGGCCAGGACGATATTTTACATCGTCCTGGACGATCAGGCTTAAAATAGAAAATCTAATCAAGGGTTCTTAATTAAGGCAGCCGTCATTAGCCAATCGGCCTGGATGATACGTGTATCGACAAGGACGATAAGCCCAAAATATAAAAAAATTACCGCCATAAACAATTAAGGTATTATGTAATTTTTGGTAATCGTCTAGGACGATCTTGGATCGGCCTGGACGATATTCACAATTATTCCTTAATTAATCAGACAAATCAAGGAAGTAATTAAGGATGATTGATACGATCATATCGACCTGGAAGATCATAGGATCGGCTAGGATGATATATTCAAAAAACTTAGTTACTTCTGGACAATAAATATCAGCCAGCACATATTCAGGGCGATGTGCTGGACGATCGGGATCGGACAGCTTGAATTCAGGGTGATGCTCTGGACGATTTTCCTCTGATTTGAACTGATCGGCCTGGACGATCGTGAGATCGTCCTGGAAGATCAAGCCAATTTTCAATCGTCCAGTTTGTATTCAGGGCGATGCTCTGGCCGATCTTCTGAGATTTATACTGATCGGCCAGGACGATTTTCATATTGTCCTGGACGATATAGTCTACAACTTGCAATTAATGAGCTCCTTTGAAGCTCTTCTATTTAAGAGCTCTTGTTCAATATTTTTGAACATCTTTTGCTACTGCCTTGACCTGAGAAGACCTTGAAGAGAGAGAGAGAGAGAGAGAGAGAGAGAGAGAGAGAGAGAGAGAGGATTTTGTGAGGGGAGCTTGTGAGGGGATTCACAAGGGTTACTTCAAGGATCGCTCTTCTTCTTCCTTGTCTAGAGTTTCTCGTCCGTGGAAGGGTCGGTAGAGGTAAGGATTCAGCAACTGATAGTGGTTCTCTGCCAGCTTCAGGAGGAAGCAAAAGGAGATAGGTTCTCTGCCTTGCCGGGGTGGTAAAAAGAGGCTCTTTGTAAAGGCTTCTCTGCCTAGCTGTGGGGGATAAAGGAGAGTCACGATTTTAGTGCAATACTCGGAGGGCGCCTCCGGGGAGTGGACGTAGGTCGAGTTGACCGAACCACTATAAATTTCTGTGTTCTTATTTCTTGCTTTCGCACTTTAATTTCCGCACTTATTTTTCTCGTGGTGTGATTTTGGTTTATGTGATTTTACTTCTTTGTGAAAAGAATTTTTAAAATACCAATTCACCCCCCCTCTTGGTTAGCTTGGGCCAGTTCTATAGGGCTTAACATCCCCAACGAACTTTCAGGAATAGCAGAGTGCTTATGGAGCTGGACAATAATTTGAGGGCTAATGAGAAGGCTTTGGTTATGAAAGAGAATGTGGAACATAGTTTGAGTAGTAATGTTAGTGTTGTGGA